CTTGCTTCGATGGCCTTCTAGAACCTTGGCCCACACTCTAGATTTAGCTCCATGAGGTCTTTCCTACCCAGAGGCATCCAGGGCCTAGTAGCGTTCTCTCATTTCCTGAAACAGTCTAGGAAAAAGGCAATTTGGGAAGAAGTAGCAGAGAGAGCCCCTAGCATATCACCCCGGAGAAGGGCCCAGAAATTTGCTTTTTTGTTTTTTTCAAATGAGAAGCTGCAAGCTAGTAATTCGATTTGAACCACACACTCCTTAGCTGCATGGCCTTAGGCAACTTAATCTTAGAGAGCCCGTTTTCTCTTCTGTAAAAAGCAGAACAGGCATACCTTGCAAGACTTCTGGAAAAGCTAGAGATAATATGGAAAGTGTCCAGCACATAGCAGGCATTCAATAAATGGCAGTTCTAAAGAAGATGAAATGGAAAAGGGGACACAGCGAGAGGTGACAGGGAAGCCTACTGACGCCCCTCTGGAGAAGTTACTGATCTGCTGAACCACCAGACACAGAAGCTGACTTCAAAGGCCGGGCCTCTGGGAGAGATCTAGTTTCCATCTGGCCCCAGCCGAGGGCACTCTGGTCACGTGAATGTTCTGTCAAATGAAAGGGCACTTCCATAGGACAATGTCAGAGATGGTGAGAACCTTAAGGGCTGTCTAGTCAGCTCCTCTTTTATAATTAAGAAAAGTGAAAACCAGAAGGGCAAATGCAATCAGTTACGGTCCTCGGACCAAAAGCCACAGCTGCCATCGGGTCTCCAAGACGCCCATCGAGGAACCCTTCCTTTCTCCCTGAGCACTTCAGGAGGGTCACACACTGAGTGGCCGGGGTTCTGGTCGGACAGGCAGCCCCACTCACACCACGTGGGCTTTCTGGGAGCACACTCCTGTTTACAGCCAGGTCTGTGTCTAGAAATGTCCCTTAATTACTCACCAGGTCATCTGACACCTTAAAAACTCAATGAAGTCCATCCCCCATGCACAACTCCCAGCCCAGGATCCACTCTGCTCTCCTTCTGCTACTTGTCGGGTGTGTGTCTGGCTCCGGTGGAGAGGTGCCCACATGTGGGCTGGGGGAGGAGACAGGTCACTGCTGCTCTCAGCCGAAAGGGAGAGTGGGCAACTGTCCTACTGAGGGACTGCTAGGATAGATAATGGCGATTTCAACTGCTCTCTCTACACATCCATCAAATCCAGTATCCAAAAATACGCAACAAAGAGAAATTCTGAAAGCATAACAGTAACAGAAAAAACAGGGTGCAAAAACTTCCTCCCTCTACTGTTTCACATGTGCATAGAGCAGTGATTTTCAACCGCTATGCCCTGGAACACTGGTGTGCCATGAGAGGGCCTTGGGTGTGCTGCGAGAATTTTTAAAGATCATTAATAAAATTATTTTCAATAGAAGTTCAAAGCACAGTTAAGCATATTCTTTTTTTTTTACTCTTTTTTGATCAATATAATTTAAGTGTGTTGGGAAAGTTTAACCATAGGTTCAAGAGAGCCAGGAGATAAAA